AATTTAAGTCTTATATATTTTTAAAGTACCTTCTTTAAGATATAACTCTTTAAATTTCGAAATTAATACTTAATTTATTCATTCATTTTGAATCAAAGCTAATAAATAAAATGTTCTAAAAGAGTATCAACAAGTGTTCAAGATCATCAGTGCTTAATTAAATGTCTGATATGCACTTCGAAAAAGATGAAATAATGGATTTTTGATTATTGAAACGATTCAATCCATGAAATCCAATATAAAGTCTTAATCCATAAAACCTTTCTATAAATCCTCAATTTATATAAATAGCTATTTTCGACTTGTGTGCATTTCAAATTATGTGCATACAACATGAACTTATTCATTTTAACAGTTATTGCAGTATAGTAAAAATTTCTCCGGTATTTAAAAATCTGAAATTTTTTTTCAAAATTCTTTAAACGTCTCTAAATTTCCGTTTGAAATTACAAAATAGCCATTCATCATCTCAGTTTTCAATTCTCAAATTATTCAGATTGTCATACTGTAAACAAATTGTTGATATTATCATTTAAGCGTAACATTTTTCTTTTTTGTTTATGAATTTATAACTGTAGGACAGATTTTTTTTTAATATGACTGTACTTTCTTTTTACTGTAAACTTTTTTAAATATACTTTGAATTTGTGAGATGGAATGCAAATCATGCTTATATTTTTAAATATTTTTTGACATTCATAATTTACATGAATTCTAATTATACAGATCAAAATATAGCAGGTTTGAGTACCGTTTAAAAAAAAACTGAGTCCTAGTACCGGTGAAAGATAGTAGGTTCGAGAACTAACCAAATGATAGTTGGTTCGAATATACCTAAAAAAACACCGTAGGTTCAAGTACCGATCAAAAAATATGTGGTTTCTAAAAATGATCAGATGATAGTAAGTTAGCGCTGCGATAATAATAATTTTAAAAAAAAAAAAAAAAAAAAAAAAAAAAAAAAAAAAAAAAAAAAACAGTTTAAGTACCGATAAAATAATAACGTTTTTGAGTACCGTAAATAAGATAGGTGATTCAAATTTGAAACAAAAGAGAGGAAATTTGAAAACTGATAAAATAAAGTGAGCTCTAATTAAGTGATATTTAGTTGTTGTTGTTGTTAATTTACGTCGCACTAGAGCTGCACAATGGGCTATTGGCGACGGTCTGGGAAACATCCCGGAGGATGATCCGAAGACATGCCATCACAATTTTGATCCTCTGCGGAGGAGATGGCACCCCCGCTTCGGTAGCCCGACGACCTGCGCGTGAAGTCGAGCACTTTACGGTAGCACAGTTTAACGAGGACCGATACCGCACACCCTCGGTCCCTACGCAGACTGATCCAAGTGGTCACCCACCCGCACACTGACCGCAGCCAGTGATGCTTGACTTCGGTGATCTGCTGGGAACCGTGTCTTAACGATCAGTCCACTGCGGGACATATTTAGTTCTCAAGTGTAGATATCGTGGTGTTCGATTGCTTATCAAAAACTGTTGTGATTTCTAAAGCAGATTGAATGATAGACATTCCAAGTATCGAGAAAGAAAAAAGACTGATTGTATTGACTCATTGTACCTGGTTTCAGTACCGATAATATGACAGTGGGTTTGAGAATTTAAAAAAAAAGTGTGCTCGAAAAATTGTGGGTTCGAGTACGGGTGAAAAGAGAGTGAAATCGAGTAATAATCCATAACGAGGAGGTCCGAAATTTTATCAAAGGATAGTGGGTTTGAGCCCAGAACAAAAGAGTTTTTTCGAGCACTAATAGATAGTGTGATAATTTGATTTTTTTAACGAAATAGAATTGTTTAGAAATCTATGAAATGATATGGCAACAAATATCGATAAGAAAGTAGAGTGGGTTCGGTATTGATGAAAACTGTGTGAGGTTTCTAAAACTTGATCGAATGATAGTGGGTTCGAGTTCAAAACAAAACAAAAGAAAGTCTGATAGTCCTGATCAAATGATACTGGGTTTCATTATCGATAAAATAATAGTGATTAAGAGCATTGAAGAGATGAGGGTGGATTCGAAAAGTGTTAGCATAATAGTGTTTATGTAAGTATCAATTGAAAGATAGCGGATTCGAATTAAGATCAACTGATAGTAGATTTGAGTACTTATCAAATGATAGCGGATTTGAGTTCTGATAAAAAAATCGTGGATTCGAGTACCCATAAAAAGATAGTGGGTTTGAGAACTGACCCAATGATAATTGGTTCGAGAATACCTATAAAAGCATCGTAGGTTCAAACACCAAACAACAATGTATGGGGTTTTCAAAACTGATCAAATTATAATGGGTTTGAGTGATGATAAAGAGACAGTGGTCTTGAGTACTGATCAAACGGTAGTGGTCTCTAGCACCAAAAAATAGTCGTGGTTTTGAGTATTGAGCATAAGAGAGTAGATCTTAAAACAAATCAAATTATAGTAGGTGCGTACTTTATTTACCGTGCACTAGAGCTGCACACTAGGCTATTGGCGAAGGTGTAGGAACCATCTCTGAAGATGATCTAAAGACATGTCATCGCAGTCGTGATCCGAGTGAATTCGATCACTTTACGGAAGAGCAGAGAACCGATACCGTGCAGCATCGATCCCTACGGAGGCTGATAAAAGTGGTGACCACAGACAGTGCTGCCTGACTTCGGTGTTCTACTGGGAACCGTGTCTTTACGATCAGTCCACTGCAGGGCCAAATTACAGTATATTTTCAAGTAAACACGAAAAAATAGTGGGTACAAATACTGATCAAACGTTAGTGGATGCAAGCACCGATAAAAAAAAAAGGAAGTTTCGAGTATTAAAGAAAAGAGAGTGTTATTGTGAGTTCGAGTTCAAATTATTGTGAGTTCGAGTATTGAACCCCATAGAATGGATTCGAAAATATAAAAAAATAGTTGACTCGAGTATTGGTCAAAAAAGAATTCAATCTAGTAATGATCAATTTTGAGTAGGTTCGAGAACTTATCGAATGATGGTAGGTTCGAAAACCGATGCAAAAGATAGTGGATCGAATTTTTAAACGAAACAGAGTCTTTTTAGAAATTGATAAGATGATAGTGGGAACGAATATCTATAAAAATGAGTTAATTCGAGTACCGATAAAAAGAGGACGTTCGAGTAGTGATAAAAAGATAGTGGGTTCAAGTTTAGAACAAAAAAAAAAAAAAAAAATGGGGGTTTGAACCAGTGAAGATTTTACCGTANAAAAAAAAAAAAAATGTGGGTTTGAGTACCTATGTAAGGATAGCGGATTCGAATTCTAAACCAAAGAGAGTGGATTATAAAAATTGAAAAAATAATCGAAAACTAATCATCCCCTCCCTCCGTGTAGTAAATGGTGACTGATGCACATTAAATCTGTCGAGTCACAAAGTGTTCCCATAACAAATCATACCTCTGGGGGTACCCATCCCGAAGTTTCCTTGTCTTCTGGTTTGAGTTCAAAATGACAAGGCTTCGGTGTTGAATATGAATCCAACAATGGATCGGTTGTTCAAGGACGGTTCTAAAAATAAAATAAAATGTTGTGGAACTGAGATGGAATGCTTCTCCTGTAAAAAGTAGTTTCCAAACCTAAAACGTGAATTGCACTAGTTATGAGAACACTGTTATTATAATTATTTTGTGGGCGAACAACACTCAACAATTGTTGGCTAAACTCGTGTAGCGAACGTAACCCTTCTCACATCAAGAGTTGTCGGAGCCTATCACCCAGGTGAAATGGGTCTTGGTTCGGATTCGATGGCTCCACACACTTTTCTTGTTCTTGTTCTTGTTCTTGTTAATTTACGTCGCACTAGAGCTGCACAATGGGCTATTGGCGACGGTCTGGGAAACATCCCGGAGGATGATCCGAAGACATGCCATCACAATTTTGATCCTCTGCAGAGGGGATGGCAACCCCGCTTCGGTAGCCCAACGACATGCACGCGAAGTCGAGCACTTTACGGTAGCACAGTTTAACGAGGACCCATACCGCACACCCTCGGTCCCTACGTAGACTGATCCAAGTGGGTCACCCACCCGCACACTGACCGCAGCCGTTGATGCTTGACTTCGGTGATCTGATGAGAACCGTGTCTTAACGATCAGTCCACTGCGGGACGCATGCGTTGCTATGCTGCTGTTTTTATTGTCACTAGGAGGCATTTTTAATGTGTATTTACATAATTTAAAGTATTTTTATACTGTTTGTAGTATTAACGTATAATGACTGGCTTGACGGGGATTTTTAATATAAATATGAATGCTGAAGGAGGAGGAGGAAAAGTATTTTGAAACACGTACATATAGGCAGGAGATATGAAAACCAATCAGACGACAAACATGCATGATGGAGAGAGCAATCCATGATTTGAGTCAACCGCAGAAAGAAAAAAACATTTGACCCATGGGCAACCAGTGATCGTCCTAAGGGGATCACAAATTTTTTTTTTCTAGTTTCTTTATGTTATTTATTTATTTAATTTTATTTTTTTTATTGAGCAGCGTATTTCCCTGAAAACGGCGAGCATTAGAATGGTAGTAATAAAAAAAAGACACGTTTAAAAGACAGAAAATAGTGCAGTGATACTAAAACTTAGTTCTATCTTATATTTTAGAGTAGTGTAGGCATTAAAACGCCCTCAGTACACATTTGCATTACAATTCTATTTTATTTTATTTATTATTATTATTGTTTCTTTTTTCTTTCACTGTTTTATATTTTTATCTTCGAAGTAAAAATATAAAATATGCATAAATAAAAACTTTTAGGATGAGACATTTAAAAGATTTTAAAAATATTTCTGTTGACAGACTGTCAAGGAATCATTTGTAATGTGTGACAATGCAAAGGATCGAAAACCAATCAAAGGTTGTGATGAAAATGGAAATTATTGTATGAATGGTCGCTTCGTGAAGAGAGACCCGCCTACTCTTCGTGGATTGGTGGATGAGGCAGTTCCCCCGACATCCCGCCCCCTTGACACCCCATTCCGTTCCCTAAAATTGTCTTTCTTCTGGTAACTGAGAAACAGAGAGTGAATATGAGGCTGGTCTATGAAGATTCTGTGATCGAAGGGGATGGTACTGGAATACAAAAATCTGCTGACTTGAAATCCTTCGGTGAGTGTTTAACATTTTATAAGAATGAAATCGCTCCTCATGTTCATTCATTTTAGGATCAACTCAAATTTCTTTTTGGTAGTTATTTAAACATAAATGATACAAAATTTTTTAATTTATGTGACAAAAGTGTGCTGACTGAAAATGAAGCAATTATAAAGAATGGTAAAAAATTAAAAATGCATGTGCAGTGACTGCGGAATGATATCGGATATCGGAAAAATATGATGGATATCGGATATCCGGATATCGGATGAAAAAAAAAGAGGAAAATAAACGGTCACGACTGACCACAAATCTAAGAAATGACTATTAAAATATGACCTGCCGGTCTCCACCCGATGTTCAACATTTTCGTCTAAAATGCATCCCACGTCCATCATTATTATTTTAATAAATATGAAATTATTGTTATTAATATTTTATAAAATTATTTTATTTCACAATTGCTTCTTTAAAATTTTTCATTACATTAGAAATGATCCATATCACGTTTTTAGAAATAATTTTTAAAGAAAAAGTTTTACGTTATTAAAATGTCTAAAATTTTTTTAATCGGTTAAAATTTTTTATTTTTGAAGAACTGGCCACTTTTATGTTGTTGTTTTCGTGTCCATGGATCACATCAAAGGTCTGGCAGCCATCTTGAATGTAGAGAACAGTTCTTAGATTGTCCTCAATTGCCACCCATCCCAATTTCATAACATGTGTGGTGAGTGCGGGGTACTCGAACATGTGTTTTGGTGACAACATGACATCCGGGCAGTTTCTACTGGGAACGTATGTCCTGGTCTGGTCCTGGGGAATTTTCATCTCTCTGAAATGATTGGTCTTGCTATTACCGCTGTCAAGTTGAAGGCAGTGGCTTCTTAAAAGGTGTGAGATAGAAGTCTGTTTTTATAAAAGCTACATTTGGCCGTGAGCCGAAATTCTCTAATTTTACCCTTAGAGCTGTGAATTTTCTGCGAAAAAGAGAATTTCTGTTTTCCATACTTCTTGTCCATTGAGAAACTACTTTGAAATTTGTTCGCAAATCATCCAGGTTTTTTTATTTGCATTATACACGGAGAAAAAAATTCTGGAGAAATTTCTGTATGGTAATAACATTTACGATTAAAAGAAAAAAATTAAATAAGCATAAATCTGGTTAATAAAGCCAAACTATATGGTATTTAAATCATTCATTTGGTAATTTTTCCGTCTATATGTTAATGGTTTAACCGGAAATTCTTAATTTGATAAATTATAGTTTTTATTACCACAAATTTAGTAAAATATATTAAACTGAAAATTAAATTTAATAGAATAAATGGTTTTTATGGTTAACATTACCAAATTTTCTCACGTGTTCTAAAACTATAGTTTGTTGTTAATCTGGTTTTATAATATGCAATTAAATTGGGTTCGGTAAAAATAATCGAGCTTCTGGGTGTTCCCATAGAGCCAGAAACACGGTAAATTTTACCATATACTTGGAGTTTTGACCATACTTTTTTTCTCAGTGTAGGATCTACAAGTTTAAGGAGGAGAAGAGTTTTTTTACTGCAAATAAATTAAACCGTGCTAAAAAAACAACCGTAAAAATTCATATTTACTGAGATTTGTTGCATCATTTTATACAGAATTCTCGATCAGAGATCGAACAAAAAGTTCAAATGAAACGCCGAATATCTTGAATTAAACAAGCTCGATTTATGCACGTTTAGTTGCAATGCTCCTTCTCCCGTCCTGACGTCATTATACGATTTTATTTTTAACCTTTCGATATACCTTTATTCCCTGGTCTTCCTTCCTCTCGATTTAAGGATTGCTTTAAGAATGATTAGAAAAGACGCATTTTTATTTTATTTCTTTACTACTGTTGAACAGTCGAACAAATTTACGACTACTAAGTGTAGTTTAGTTCAGATTCGGCCCCTCAGGCTGCATCCAGGAGCACCGTCGTTTCGTCGTTTTGCGACTACTAATACTTAACTCCGTATACTTGTCATTTCGAACCCGATCCAGAAGACGAGGGAACTCCTAGATCAAGTATAGGGAGATGTTTGCCTTCGTGGAGGGCTTTTTTGATGAAACTAACTCGCATTTCGTTACATGGAGAGGGAAACCAAGAAAGCCTTCCACGGTTATCCTGACGACAAGGGGACTCTAACCCACTATCCGTCTACCACTGAGGATATTTTACGTCCACTCTGTGGCCGGTGTGACCGGGGTGAGGAATTTTAATCAACCAGCCATCGTCTGGATCCAAACCCGGTTCATCTCATTAGGAGGCGAGCGCTCTATCCCTTGAGCCACCACGGTTCCAGAAAAAAAAAGTCGTATTGACAAGCTGGAGCAAATGTTTAGTTTTAGATTTTTAGAAAACTAAACATGTAGGGATGCCATGAAGGGAGAAATAGTCTGATTGCGCCCTAGAAGGGTTAACTGCGTGAGAATAAAGAATTGATGTCTTGCTTCAGAGAACAGATTTCTTCTTTAACTTTGGAACTAAAACTGTATTAATTAAATATTGATTAATTAATTACAAAAAAACAGTTGTTACAAAACACAATTGCCTTAAAATTTTAAAGATAATATTCACAGAAGTAAAAATAATATAACAATTAATAAAAACTAATAAAAAAATAGAATTTCGCAAAATTTAAAAATAAAAAAATACTAAGAACTACTAAGAGTTTATCCCCTCCTTCCCCCCCCCCCCGTANCCCCCCCCCCCCCCTGTAGTTAAAACTGAGAGTTGTCAATGAAGAAATAATTGAAATTACTTTTCTTTCAATATACTTTAGCAAAATAGAAATGGTAGGACCTAACATCTCTTGTTTTTGATATTAAAAAAGCATTAAAACGTTTCAATCCTCGTTATGAGTAAAAATTTTAAAAATATCTTCGAAAGGTAAAAAAGTTTCACTACCATTCGATACTTATTTAAAAACTATTTTTGATCGAAGAAAGTATATAGAATGTAGAGTTTACAAAGAGTGAAGTAAGAGTTGAAAAAGTATAGAAAAGAAACATCATTTAGAAACTGTTATGCATACTGTAAATGCATTGACTCAAGTTTTTCGAGTGAATAATTTTTAAGAAAGAACCATTTTCGTATCAGGCACTATTTTCAATTAAAATAAATAAAACAGAGCAAACCGTTTCCTTATTTATAAACATATTATATCAGATGTTTATGTAAATCAAATCAGCATTTAAAGTATAACGATCTTTAACAGTACACGTATCCATTCTTCTATAACAGAAATGTGTTAGTCATATTTATTTATCATCCCTTCTTTATATTATCCTCTCGTAAAATTACTTCTCTGATTTGAATTACAATTCAAAAATAACTTTAAAGTGTTGTTCTTTTTATTATATGACAAAGTTATCGCGTGATATTACTATTAAACTATTAAACTATATCACTATTAAACTAACTTCAGCGGCACGACAGCCCGTACAGTGCCAAGGCCTACTGTGCCCATCTCAGTTTTTTTGACCATTGGACTCTGGGGTGCAGGAGCAGATGTTCCGGTTAGGTGGTCAGCCGAGCGCGAAACCCCCAGTGTTTAGCTCCCAAGCATGCTTGGTACTCATTTATCGACCCACTAATGGGATGAAAGGCTGAGTCCACCTTGCCCGGCCCGAGGATCGAACCCAGGGCCTGTGGCACGGGAGCGATTATACACTATTGTATCATGAAAATAATCGTTTCACAATTATTTCACAAGTTAAATTTTTATAATAATACTTTTCATGATACAGGTGATTCTATACATTGACTAGGTTCAGTCAATGTATAGAATTAAAATAATGAAATGAATGCCTATAATAATATCTTCGGTAAAAAACTAGTTCAACGAGTTTTTTTTTTAATTTTTAATTTAGTAAACAAAATTTAAATATAAAGTTAAAACATAAAATGTGTGAGCGACTTTGCCTCGGTAACTGTGAATTTAAATTTTATCCATTCTGAAACTAACTCTGCGGAGACGGAAAAAAAAAATCCATGTTAATAAAAAATGTCGAGATAATTATAGTTCGTTGCAATGAACAATGCGATCATCGTCCATAAGATGGGTCAGTAGATATTTTATGTAGGGCAGTTTCAAATGATACTTCGCATGTTTTGTAGCAACACTTTATTGAATCCGTTATGGAGCGACAAGAGATTCTACGATGTCATTGAAACGTGATTCTCGATAGATTCCAAAAAAAAAAAAAAAAAAAAACCTTTTTTCATTCGATTAAAAGAATTTCAGAGAACTAATAAAACAAATTTTATTTTTGCAAAAATAAATGATTCTGCAACCTATACACTCCTTTGCCATATTATTAGACTCACCATACGATTCTATGTAACATTTTAATTAACAGGTGATGGATACTATACAGCTTTATTGTTTTTACGCTACTGAAACCGGTTTGCACTTGTTTACGTTCGTGTACCAATGGGTTAACATTGTCACGCAATACGTTATAAATAGCATAAAAAATAGGAAGCATAAAAAAAATCTCCCGAATAAAAACCCATGACATGTATGTTTCAATATAAAAGTATTGACTCTAAACGCGTACAAAACATGCAATTATTAAAAAAAAAAAAACAGTGAGTCTCATGATTGGGTCTAATTATTATAATATACTCATATAATACCTGGTATATTAAATATTCTATATTTATATTATATATCGTCGAATTTATCCAATAGTCAAATTTATATTATATGTCTTCTAATTTAACTTATTGATACAGGAACGTATACAAGTGCAAACCGCGTATAAACAAAAAAGCTGTATAGAGTATCACCTGATCATTAAGACTTTACATAGAGTGCGTCTCATCATTTGATCAGGGACTGTACATCTTGCAACATCTAATTGTTAATCTATCTTTCTAATCAGGTATTATTATAATATACTAATATAATACCTGATGTAATAAATATTCATATAATATATCGTCTCATGTATCGAATCGTCGACATCTCTAATTCAACCCATTGATA